AAAAAAAAAAAAAAAAAAAAAAAAAAAAAAAAAAAAAAAATCAAGTCTTCAAAGATTACAGAAGCCCCTTCTAATCAAACACCAACTTCTCATGTGCACAGGAATTGGAACACTTTTTCCTTGACAGATCCACCCCTCATATTATTGCTACTTTTTTTGAGATAGGAAGTGAAAATTGAATGATTTCTAACATAGTGGCTTGGTAAACATTTGTTGAAAATATTTAACGTTTGTTGGAATGCTTTTATTTGTCTTTTCAGATCCCGTTTATGTCCATTCCCTTACTTGAATAAGTGAGTAAACTGCCTTTCGGAAATTTTTTTATGCCAGTATAGGAATGGAGTTAAACATCCAAGTCTACAGATATGTCTAATAAATTAGGCAGCTGCTTTCTCGGCTTGTTTGCAATGTTTCAATGTCATTAATCCATAATGTTATGTTTATTTCTTTAAGATCCGTACAGGTTTACAGCACCAAATAATCTGGCCCTGTCAGCCCAGCTGTGTTCCTCTGGATGAAAAACTCCTGCCCCAGCTTCTAAAAGAAGCAGGCTATACTACCCATATGGTCGGAAAATGGCATCTGGGAATGTACCGGAAAGAATGCCTTCCAACCCGCCGAGGATTTGATACCTACTTTGGTAATGGAAATGCACATGTTTCTTTAACAACTCAGACTAACTGCAGCCATCTCATAAAACACACCCAAGTGTAATCAAATGAAGTAAGTGGAAACTTGAACAGAGTGAATCCATCAGCACCGCAGTGGGGCTGCTTTCTAATGTTGCCTCCATAAACAGGGCTCTGAGCTCAGCTCATGGTGGGCCTGAGCTCACAGCCAGGCAGTTACCTTTGCTAGGTACTAATTGCCACCATAGGGCCTTGGAAGAGTTTACTACCTCCACATCAAAGACCACTGTGCTCCCAGAGAATCTTATTACTTAAAGGGGATACAGATTAAATTTTTTTTAAAAACTCTAGGCAAAACCTAATACAAAAATATTTCCTTCACGAGGTTTATTATATTTTTTTCTCCCCATGAACTGTATTCAAAGGTTTTTTTTGTTTTGTTTTTTTCTGGGTAGGGTGGGGAAAAGACTCTTTTCCATTGGCATCCTTCTCCCATCTGTGAGATCTATTTTTGAAATCACTGGGTTGGGGAAGATAGATTTAAAACTATAAAATAAAATGGGGAGGTCAAAAAACAAACGGTAATGTAAAAATAATAAGAAATAGTAAGTATTTTATGAACTTGATAGCTGTATAAAAATAAATGGGAAACCTACAGTTTGTTTTAAAATGTGCCCTCTTTAAACCTGTTATAAACCATGCCTTAATTAATAATCTATTCATCTTTCCAGTAGTTGTATATCTTGTCATATTCTTTTTATATTGAACTATCTGTCTAGCTATTTAGCTACCTACCAACCTCCCATCTGTTTCTTCATTTATTTACAAACTGCCATAGCCAAAAAGGAACACATATTGAACATAAAATTTTAAATAGAATAAAAAATCAGGGTAAGTAGAAAAAGATGGAATAGTTTAATGGTACCAAATTACAAAAAAGCTGCATGGCTCTAGGTGGGTTTTACATTGAGCTCTGAGATTAGAGATTTCTTACATCCAAAGCAAAATTAAAAAATAAAGGAAAAGGCTATAAGAATTATGTTATTTACAGGATAAATGGAAACCAGATGTTCAGGAAGAGTAAAGCATTTTCTGGCTCTTAGGCCAGAGAGAAATTTCTCCTTTGGGAGAAGATAAGGTGGACAACATCCTTAAAAACATCGTTTTAGTAATAAAGTGGTGGTTTTCTTGTAGATGTTTCTTGAGGTGTTCTCTTTCATTCAAGCTAGGGCCAAAGCACCAAAGGACAACCCTAACTGTAAAAAATTCCAGCTTTTACACCAACTGTAAAAGTAATTATATGGGGTCAAAACAATGTAGTCCAGGCACACGCTCTGTAATGTCTGGTTGGATCCAGGGTTAAAATCAAGGTGCAAGGACATCAGACGGGAGACTGGTGCTCCATTTCCATTCAGGTCCTCTAGCAGCTGTTATAATCAACGGTGGCATTTTTTCCTAATGAACCTGGATATATCCTCAATATCCTCAAATAGCCATTAAAAATTAGACTTGGGTGTAAGACCACTTTTTCATCTTGGAAATTCTAGAGGAACAAACAGCCTATATACATCTTTGAAATTTTTCAATCAGGCCTTTGCTAAAAGACGGGTCAATATCTACACTCCAGCAAGAGGATGAACTATACATATTTTGAATTTTTTATTAAAAGCAAAGTTATATACTAAAAAACTTCGGTTAGACAAATGTTAGAAATGATGTCATTTTATGAGTGTTAAGAAGCATAACCTGGATGTAGATGAACAGACAAATACCCCACATTCATATAAAGGGAGATTTGCAGCCAAAAAGAGTATTATGACTGTGCAGCTGTCATCACTGTCATGACTCAGATGTTCTGCTAAAAAACAGATGATTGTGGGATGGTTGTACAGCTCTGTGGATGAATTAAAAACCAATGAATTATACACTTTAAATGGGTGATGTGTGGTATGTGAAATATATCTCAATAAAGGTATTAAATAAAGCAGTCAGAGATTTAGTTGTTCAAAAGTATTTTCTAATTTTTCCCAAAAAAGCATAGGCTGCCATCTTCTTTAGGCTCAGTGTCTAAGTTGAAATTTGTGAATCACTATTATGATGAAAAGCTCTATGTGACTGTCACATGATTGCTTTGGTCTCAGTATGCGAATAAATAGTTCTATTTCCAGAATTCTCCTATTTGTAATATCTGTTTAATATTTACAGTTTATACACCTTTTAATCAAGTATATCCTATGCATATATTCTCCCAGATAATAGAAAACAATTTACATTTACAGATAAAGAACTTGAAGTGATTTCCTCACGCTCTACCCTGTAGTTATTAAAAATCCGAAATAGAACTCTAGTGTCTTGACCACTCTAATCACCCATGTAAGGGCTGAAATTACTTTTATGGATACTTTTCTTTCTCTATTAATATTAATTAACAAACACTTTGGATTTCCGTTTTTGTTATATATGTAGGAGAAAAGATTACTATTTAAAAAGTTATCTTAAGACCACGGTATTCATTGTATTCAGGACCTTGAATTTATTGGGTCATGGAAAGAGAAGATTTAATTAAAAATGGATTGACATATTATATAAGCTGTGTAAGGCTCTTAATTGTCATTATAGGGAAAGTTCAGCACTGGGGAAAGGGCTAGGCCAATTTTATCATCCTCATTTTTTTTTTTTTTTCCCTTTTTTGTCTTTTTTACTGACTGGCAATGGGATCGCAACCCTCGGTGTTGCGCCCGCACCACGCTCAGCCAGTGAGCGGGAACCGGTCTCCACATGGGATCCGAACCCTCGGCGGGAGTGCCGCCGCGCTCCCAAGCGGCGCACTCTCCAGTGCGCCACCGGGCCAGCCCAATCATCCTCATTTTAATGTTAATAAGCAGTATATGTCAGAAGATAGCTAGGAGTCCAGCAAAGCTTATTTTTTTAATAGCTTTATCGAAATGTAATTCACATACCATAAAATTCATCCAATTACAGAGTACAATTCAGTGATTTTTAATACATTTACAGGGTTGTGCCTCTATTATCACTATCTAATTGTAGAACATTTTCATCACCCCCAAAGAGAAACCCATCCCCATTAGCAGTCACTCTCCATTTTCTCCTACCCCCCTCAGCCATAGGCAACCTACTTTCTGTTTCTATAGATTTGCCTATTCTGGACATTTAATGTAAGTGGAATCATATGCAGCACAGCTTATTTTAATATCTTAAGAAAATTTGGAACATTTGCAGAAATAACTATTAGTTGAGAAACCCATTTTCTTTTATGTTTAAATAAGCAGTTGCTGCCATTTAAATTTGGGGCAAAATTAAGTTACTGTAGGTAGAAAAATCTGATTTCAGTGCTATACTTTAGCTTAATCTTTTGGCTCTATTATGTCTAGAGATCCTCTATTTGGAAAGGTTTGTCTTTCACCAGTGGGTGTCAGCATCTGATTAAAGATGATTCCTCCTAGAGTCCCTTCTATAAATAACCTTGAAGCCAGTCTCCCAATGTCAATAATAACAAGCAACATTATTTGAATCCTGCGCTCATTTATGTGATCACCTCAGAGTAAAAACTTGTAATAAATCACATTAACCATATAATATTTTTGCCATTAGATAACTAAAGGATGAAGATGTTATTATATTTACTGAATTTAAACTCTGCTATTTTAAAACACATTTACTTGGGATCACCCACTTTGAGAGTCCCATGATGGAGCCTGTGTTCTAAAGACTTGAATTAAATGTATTTAAATTTTTTCACAGTAACATTTTAATGCCTTCTGCTACCAAATATAAAGATGTTAAGAAATGGTGCTCTGATTAGCCTTGTCATTTGATTAGCCTTGTCACGGGTAATCAATTGCATTAGGCAATTAAATGCTGAAACATTAGTTTGTTTAACAAGTTTTATGCTGTGCTGACTATTTTTGTCTTCCATTCTTGTTGCAGGATATCTCCTAGGTAGTGAAGATTACTATTCTCATGAGCGCTGTACATTAATTGAAGCTCTGAATGTCACACGATGTGCTCTTGATTTTCGAGATGGTGAAGAAGTTGCAAGAGGATATAAAAATATGTATTCAACAAACATATTTACTGAAAGGGCTACCGACCTCATAACTAACCATTCACCAGAGAAGGTTAGTCTTGCTTCTTTACCGATGTCAAAATTTTAAGATAACATCTCTTCAGATGAATGCAGAAAAAGGCCACTGTTGTTTAGGGAAAAATCTAATTCTAGAGGAGTTGTTTTAAAATTTTAGGGTACATCAGAATCAGTCTGGGAAGCTTGTTAAAAATGAAGATTCCTGGAGGCCACCTCTCAGGGTGTGATTTATTAGGTCTGGGAAAAATCCATACATCAGCGTTTTAAAGAAACTCTTAAAGGGTGATTCCTGTAAGAGTGGTCCCAGGATCACACTTTGAAGAATACTGTGTCTATAGTGTTTCAGTAGAGATATAGTTTTATTATTTTAGTGTATTATGTGCTGTAAGTAATTAGTAAAATGGCTCTTTTTTAAAGAAATAATTGGCTTATGTACAGGATGAGGCTTTATTATGGCAAACATTCTAAGTGATCCACGAATTTTGGGTTCAGGGCAAGCCTTCTAGCTGTGCGTTTTTCTCCTCAAGATTATTTTGGGTACTCTATATCTTTTGCATTCCCATGTTAATTTTAGAATGAGCTGCTCAATTTCTATTAAAAAAAAGCACCTGCTTGGATTTGGATTTCATTGAATCCATAGACGAGCTTGGGGAGAATGGATGTCTTAATAATATCGAATCTTCCAATCCACAAACATGGTGCACTGATGAATGTGTTTTTCACATTTACTCTACAGACACTTTCGTGTATGTCTTGTGCTAAAATCTTTTGACTTATGTATAGGTAAAAATGGAAGAGTCTGAATAGCCTTAAATTTTTTTGTTAACATAAAGTTAACCTCATGAATTCAAGTTCAAGCTAAATTCTGGATTTAGCTTATAAATGCTTTTGAAATAGGGTCAGATAGTCATGTTGTCAGATGCTGGGCTCAAAATATGGTTTCATGAAGTATTAGCATACCCACAAAATTACAGCAAATTACAGAATGTGCAGTGTTATCTGGTTCTTCTAATCTCCTGCATGTTGCCTCTTCGACAATGCCTGCAGGTCCTTGGTGCAGACCACAGTGTGGATTCGAGATCCCATGCATGTTCATATTTGGTACACAGTGGCTGCCACCCTCTTTGATGTGGTTGCTTCCTGGCTCTGCCTTTGCCTCCTCTAACTCGGTATTGGGAATCTTCCCTGGGGTCCATCATCAGCTCTGCCCCACTTTTGGCTTTTTTTCACTTATATGCTGACATCTTGGAGCAACCATGATGTCTTGCTGTGGAACATGAAGAAATGGGAACATTCTCACACATATGTAGAAATACACAAGTGTTAAATCTAGATAGATCTAAACCAATATTCAGATAGGTGGAAAGATGGCTGCTAGGTAATTGGCTTATGTTCTCTGTTTTCTTCTATTTACTTGGCATTTTATAAATACAGCATAACACCTAAAGAATAAGATAAGGTCTTAAGGGAACTGTGATCATCCTTTGAGGTAGACACCATTTTACCAATAAACAAACTGGCTTAGAGAAGTTAAGTAACTTATTCAAGGTCACAGAGCTATTGAGAGTCAGAATCAGAATTTAAAATCATACTCTCTGACTCTGGAGCTCATGCACTTAATCAGCCTCCCTAGTTTACAGCTAATATCCAAGACCAGAGATTCTGATTCCCAGTTCATGATTCAACTTAATGATTTCAGTTCTGAGCATGTGTTAGAATCATCTGGGGAACTTGAAAGACATACTGATGCCAAATATTGTGATTCATTGGTCTGAGGTGGGATCCAGTCATTGGTTTTTCATTAACCCCCCTTTCCCCACCTTCTACTAGTGATTCTGATGTACGGCTACCATTGACACCTTGTACAGTTAGGAGCATTCTATGAGGTGTCATTCAGGGCACTCCCCTCAAACACAGAGAGGCAAGCAAAGCCAACTACCTTCTACAGGTTTGCAGTCTAACAATACTGTAACCATCTGGCAACTGTAACCTGCCTACAGTAAAAATTTGTTCCCTCCCATTAAGGAACAGTGGAGTATTCTCTCATAGTGTCCCATAACATTAAGCAGATAAGAGGAAGCAGCTGGGGCGAAATAGCTCTTTGTGGGTGGGCTGTCTTAGCTGGGGTGGTGGGGAAAGCACAGGAACTGAGGACAGTGGGAGGCTCTGGTGCTGCTCGTGGGTAACACAGTATGGAAATCACCAGATGAGAGGATGGCCGTTTTCCTACAGTGTCTGAAACATTCTGAAGGAGTATCCGTCATTCCCAGTATTACTAAAGTTACAAGCATTGATGTAAATGAATGAAATAATCAATAATTGGAAAATAACTCCAGAATGTTTGTCTAAGACAGCTTATGCAGGCATTTACATGTTTAATTCTCAATAAAATGATGCATCTCACCAGTTTCAGGAGCAGCACTTTTCATAATTTTATCCCAATGTTTAATCTAATTCTGTGCTAATTTCTCAGCTACTTTATATAGACTGCAACATAGGCAAATCATTAAAGAAATACACGTGAAGTATCCATAAGCCAACTTGAAATTGTGCCTATGTTAAAGTGCACTTGAGGGGAAAAAGCACACAAATACCTTATTTTGTAACTGAAACACAGCTGTTGATGCTGGACTCACGGAGATACTGCTAACACCCATTTCACATGTGTTAAGAAGGAATGTCCTTTCTCTTTTCTACAGGATAATTCCCATTGTAGTAACACTACAAACTGAAAGTAACATGTTCATAAAATATCTTCCCGTTAAAAATAGCACCCCACAGTACATTGCAGAATAAAAACAAATGTTTTCTCACACTTCTAATCTATTAGATGCTTCTTAAAGAAAGTGTTAATTTCTAGTAGTAGACACTTTTCCTTGACAGAATTTGGGAAGAAATGTCTTAATTTGGAAGTCAAAGATAGAATAACAATGTCAAAATCTATATTATATACTTTTTTTTATGTATGCTTTAAATTAGGAAAATATACTAAAGAAATGAAGATAAGCTTTTCTTTCTCACTGAAATAAGGTTTCTTAGCATGGTGAGGATATTTAGAGTGTATATCTTAAGAGCTATAAGGCATAGTAAGAAGGGGAAAAGAACGCTTAGCATCTTAAACATGAATATGCCAATGGCTTTAGGTGAGAATATCTTATAATACTTAACTATTTATGATTTTATGTCTAGGATTCCATTTTACATCCCTAAGATACCTGAAAGGGTTACAGTTAGGTAGCAGTTATGACTGAGTTGATCAGAAGAGGGATCTGGACCCAAGAAAACGCATGGGGGAGATCAGGCTCTAGCTTAAACCCAGAGATAATGGAGATCGATGTCAGGCCCAGGGCCCCAGTGTTTGAATCAGAATGTCAGTAAGGTCAGAATGGGCCCCAGATCTTCAAAGGCCCAGGCATGGTAGGGTTGGAGCTCAAATTAGGAGACATTTAACAGTAATGAGCCCATCCCCAGAATGGTGGCTGCTTGCTTTAGGCTAACACTGAGCTGAGGCTCTGGCTGGCAGGTGTGGGGAAACTGGTGACAGTTGTCACAGGGAGGGTCCTAGGACAAATGGCTGCAGGTGGGGTCCTGATTGTGGTTAGAGGACCTTCGGGCCCTAGTTAATTGTTCTTTCCACTGGGCCACCACATAGTACTAAAAACACTTCTCTTTTTTAAATTCAATTTAAGAATAGTATAGAAATGCTTCACATTTAGCTCCATTGGGGAAAGAGTTCCTTCACGAGTAAAGTTCACCTTCTGTGTGCTGAAACGTTGTTTGCGATGTGGGATGGAGATATATAAACTGTGCAGCGTCAGTCCTCACCTCGTGCAGTAGGCTGTGCTGCATTGTTCTGCCTGCTCCTGTTACTCCGAGCCATCCTGATCTGCATAAGGCTGTTAGCCCACCCACCAGATAGCCCTGGACTGCTGCTGGTGAGAAGGGAAAAACAGATTACTGTTTGTTCAAGGAATACCTTTGTCTATACTTCTAAGTTATTAGGATCTAGTCAGCAGTAGAACGAGGCTTTTGCATGGCCCGTGACATCCATGTGATAGGCTGGTCCTTACCCCTCACAGGTTGTTTTCACTTCCTCTTCTCATTTATGTCCCTTATGTTGGGCTTGATAGAAGTCTGACCGTGGGACCAATGGGGACTGCTGCAGTTTTATATTTTTAACCCCTCAAGAGTGATGGTAATGTCTTTAGCCACTAAGGAATAATTATGGGAAAGATTTTCAGATTATTTTGTGCTATATTTAACAAAGTGAGTAGAATGATTTCCATATTGAATATTTGTAAAGATACTTTAATGATGGTCTGAAAATCATTCTTTTTACTCTGGCATGGTTACAAGAACTCTTCTCCACCACCCTCCCCAGCTATCACCTTTAGGAATGGCATTGAGTCCAGACCAGAGTTGCAAACTCCCATGTTTACAAGGGTCAGGATGCTAACCTAAATATGTGAAGCAGTTCAGGTGGGACAGTGGGGAGACTCTAGAAAATTGGACAGCACTTAGGGTTGGAGCCCCTCTTTCTCATATCCAGTCTTTTGTTACCAGATAGAATGTGAAACATGGGATGGTCAGAAATTATGATTTTTCAAGCAAAATTTTTAAAAACAATTTTTATGTATTATTTCCTGATTTTTAAACTTTTACGTGGGCTGCAAATTGTTCCAGGCTTCCGATTTTTAATCTTGTCCCCATCTAGACCTTGGCTGGTGACTGGAGTTGGCTAAGTCTAGTGCTAAAGACCCAGATGTCCGCTCCCACCCACCGCAGACCCACCTGCACTGTCAGGTCATTGATGCCACTGCACATCCTTCCTCTTCCCCAGACATCTCCGCTGGGTCCTTCCTTACCACCCAGGCAAGGCATCTGCTGGGATGCCCTTCACCACAGTCTGCAGGAACACAGAGGTTTCACTACGACTTGTGCAGCTGGAGGAGAAAGCGTGCGTGTCAATAGGGAGTGGAGGTGGAGCTAAAGTAGTGCAGAGGTTATAGACTTTGGGAGTGGGAATTTGGTATATTTCCCCACAAAAATTATGTATAAATGAAGCATAGGTTCTGTGTTATCATCATTTTCATTCTGTTACCTACCTCTTTAGTTCAATAGGTTTTAAAGTGATGACTTTGATATTTAATAGTTATTTTTTAATATTTTTATTTTGGGAAAAATGTATTTCTAAGTTCGAAAGATGTGAACGTCACATAAAATTCTGGGTGTCTGTTTGAGCTCCATCTATGAGTATTCCTTACTCTATCACAGGGATGTATAATAGTAACTTAAAACAACTTACCAATAGTGAAGAAGAAAATAGAGCCCCTCTCCCCAGTCTGACTTGTAACCTTTTCCACTCATTTATGAGATTTAAATGCCTCAAATACTTTAACAGAATTATATGTTTATTCTTGGGTCAAACCAGTTGTTCTCTCTCTGAGGGTTTTCAACTCGTTAAAGAATTCTGTAGGAGCACAATGAAGAGAACGCCTTCAGAAAGGCTCATTAAAAAGGAGAGGCTGACCTGGAATACCACTAATGTTAAATGCTGTAAATCAATGGAAGAGGTGAAATAGAATCCGTGTATCACACTTCTTACTTTCCAGGAATTTAATTGGTCTCCTGTTTGGTCCTACATCAAAGACTAATGAGGCATGGTGTTCACTTGTTTTCTCACAAAATATATCAGAAAACCCTAAACCTCTCTTAAAAGGTGGGGACTTATTTTCAGCTAAAGCAAAAAGCTAAAGCATTTATTGGTGTATATCCACATCGTTAATAGTGGGTTTTCAAATGGGAAATTGCTCTTCAATTAGTGTGGTCTTGGTCAAGTCATATAACCTTTCTCAGCCTCAGTTAACTCATCTGTAAAATGGATATAACAGGGTGGTTTCAAGTATTAAATGTGATATAATATGTAAATTATCATCATAGTATCTAATACATAGACAACATTTAATATATGGTTGTTATTGATATTATATCAGGGCTTTCTGGGCCATTCTAGAAATCTACCTTTTATTTCTTATTTTTTCTTTTGTGTCATTTGTTATATTTTTAAATATCTTTATTGAGATACAATTTACATACCATAAAACTCACCCATTTAAGGGATACAATTCAATAATAAATCCACAGTGTTGTGCAGCCATCACCACAATCTAAGTTTAAAGCATTTTCATCACCCCAAAAGAAACCTTGTTAGCAGTCACTCATCATTGCTTTCCCCTGCAATTCCCTGCAGCCCTAGGCAGCCACTAGTCTACTTTCGGTCTTTATAAATTTGTCTGTTCTGGACATTTCATATAAATGGAATCACAGTGTATATGGTCTTTTGTGATTGACTCCTTTCACTTGGCATAACGTTTTCAAGGTTCATTTGTGTTATAGCATATATCAATATTTCATTCCTTTTATTGCCATATAGTGCTGAACATATACCATATTTTATTTATCCATTCATCAATTGATGGACATTGGGGTTGTTCCACTTTCTGGCCATTATGAATAATGTTGCAATGAACATTAATACAGGGTTTTGTGTGGATATGTTTTCATTTCTTTAGGAATGAGTCATACAGTAACTCTATATTTAACAATTTCAGGAACTGCCAAATTATTTTTTCAAAGTGGCTGCATACACCATTTTAAATTCCTATTAGCAATAAGTGAGGGTTTCAATTTCTCCATATCCTCACCAACACTTGTTACTTTCCATTTTTAAAATTATAACCATTCTAGTGGGTATGAAGTAGTATCTCCCTGTGGTTTTGATTTGCATTTCCCTCATAACTAGTGATGTTGACCATCTTGTCATGTGCTTATCGTCATTTGTGTATCTTCTTTGGAGAATTGTCTATTCAAGTTCTTTGCCCATTTTGTATTTGGGTTAATTGTCTTTTACTATTGAGTTGTAAGAGTTCTTTATATATTATGGATATGAGTCCCTTATCACATATATAATTCACAGATATTTTAAAGTGCATTCTTTAGGTTGTCTTGATATTATTTTTATTAACTGATAAATCTGGACTATCTTACCTGTCTGTATTTAATACTTACATGCCCTCTTAACTGATTTGCATACCCTCTCTTTCCAGCCTCTATTTCTCTACCTTGCATTCCAGTCTGTCCACGAGCCCCTTCAGGTCCCCAAGAAATACCTGGAGCCATATGACTTTATCAAAGATAACAACAGGCATCACTATGCAGGAATGGTGTCCCTTATGGATGAAGCTGTAGGAAATGTCACTGAAGCCTTAAAAAGCCAGGGGCTCTGGAACAACACGGTGTTCATCTTCTCCACAGGTAAGACTGTCAATAAGAAAATCATCTCGGCAAAGCCTAGGACATGGTATTCAATAAGTGGAATGAAGACAAATTGGAGAAGTTAGCATTTTCTTATTAAAATAGATGCTAATTGCAATAATGGAGACATGATAATAACGCATAGAAAGATGTGTCTAAGGAAAAAGAATTATGGGCTTTTCCTCCTTTCCTTCAGATACCAAAATATTCTGGGAGTATGCCTGAAAACAAGCACTTGCTAACTGAGTAAATGTGAGTGGACCTCACTCTTACGCAGGGCTGCTGGGTTGCAAATCCCTGGAGTGGCTTGTTCTCAGCTCTCTCTACAGCCCAGGCGTCTTCTGTGACTACAACTCCCACTGACTAGAATGGCCTTTGAATCAGTGCAAAGAAACAGATTGTGACATTACAAAGGCAGATAAGAAATGGAGCCATTTAATCTTGGCTAGAGTTTCTAAGTATAGATTTTTTTTGTACTAAAATTGCTTTATGACAATAAAAGTCATACATGTTGATTATTGGAAAAACAGAAAAGAAGGGAGAAAGAAGATTCATAATCTCAGCACCCAGAGATAAATTTGAAAGTCATTTAAATTAGGCAATGCCATTCTGATTCCTAGTCTGTTATATATATGATTTTTCCTCTCTCCTTAAACACAGTTTTCTAAAATTTCACCATGATGTGCTTTGGGTGCAGATCTTTGTTTATCCATCCTGCTGAGTACAATCGGAAAGAGCACTTTTAATCTGAAAATGTAGATCCTTTTGTTGTGAGAAATTTTCCTGTATTATTTCTTTGGAATTATTTGGCCATCCATCCCACCTTTCTTCTATTCTCTCTTTATAGAACTCCTATTTTTTGGATATTAGTTCAATCTTCTAAAATTCTTAGTCTTTTTCTCTCATGTTTTCTTTATTTTTCTTATCATTATTTGTAAACTTTCTATTAGTTTATTTCAACCACCATGTTTTTTCATCACTAAGAATTCTTTCTTATTTTCTGATAATTCCTTTCTCCAAAGCCTGTGCTCTTAACCATTAATTTTATATGTACATGTATGTATATGTGTGTATGTATGCACATTTTTTTTGTTTGCTTGTGTTCCCAACATTGTCCTTCTTTTAAGCTTTTTTTTTTTCCAGTTTGTTCGTACCTTTGTTTTAGTCTGTCTTTCATGAGAGTGACTTTCTTAAATCTCTCATGATCCTTGGCTAAAACCTAAAAATTTGATTGGAAACTTCAAGTGTGAGGTTAGGGCTTGTCATCTGGTAAGTTTCTCTGCAAAGTAGTTGAATAGGGGTGAGGTGATATGTTGAAGAATTACTTGTAGTTTTTTGTTTTTGTTTTGTTTTGCTTTGGCAGCTGGCCAGTACAGGGATCAAATTCTCAACCTTGGTGTTATCAGCACCATGCTCCAACCAACTGAGCTAACTAACTGTCCAGCCATGTTTTTGTCTTTTAAGAGTTGTTTTGTTTGGCTTTGCTTTAAATCAGGTATATTTATTGAATCTAACATTTATTGAGCACTTATTATGTACAGGACACAGTTCTTAGTGCTTTACATGAATTAGTTCAATTAATGCTCACAGTAATTAATTCTCTAAGGGCTATTATCTCGAATCTTACAGATGTGAGAACTGAAGCACAAAGAAGCTAAGTTACCTGCCCAAGGTCATGCAGTCAGGCAGAGTCAGGTTTCAAGATTTCTGGCTTCACAGCCGTATCCTGTCTCTGAGATGAGGATCTCAATGTTCTTATTGGACTCTCCCATGGTGTGCTGACCTTTCCCTATGGTATGCTGCAATATTGATCTACTGAGAGCCTGGGCAGGGCTGGGGATAATGACTACTCTGAGTAGCCTTGTTCAGTTGCTTTAGTGCTGTCTAAATATTATAATTTTCTAAGCGTGTCTTGCTGTGAAAAATGTTGGATATAAGATAAAATTTGTTTCCCCCCCAAAACTTAACTTCAAAAAAGAGGGAGACATCTTATACTTAAATCCTTACAAGTTCTCTCATATTGTGGGAGTCCTTTTCAATTTACTTTATTTTGAACAGCCTGGTATAGCATTTTGATCAGTGTTGGTACTGAATACCTATAGAGGTCTCTAGAAAGAATCAATAAAAAAGGAGGCTAGAACATTTAACACTGATTTAGTAAATATTCTTGGGAAATGACCTCACAATTGAAAGAATTGGAGTCATAAGTTTATAAAACCATCCGTTGTTGTAGAAATCACAATTATACAATTTCAGGACAAATAATTTTCTGAAATGCAAGTATATACTCATCTGGGTTAATGTATCACACATGAGCTCAAAAGTGTTCAAACAGAAGTGAAGATGGTAGCTCTGGAAGACGTGTTAAATATCTCAAAGTGGCTCTTGTGACAACAGATATATTGGTGTCAAGAATGCATGGGAAGAGGTGGAATAAAATTTCATCATGACACAAGAGAATGGGAAAATATTTTAATATTAATATTTATTATATGATTTCAAATGTGTATGCATAACTATATTATAAAGTAGATGGTTGATTGTTTCATAAATATCTAAACATTTTATTTATTCAAGTTGGTAGAAATAGTACTTGGAGTGTCTCACTGAGAAAATGGGGATTACCTTATAATACGGTTGTCATATTGTGATACTGTGGTATATTAATAGATATATTAATCTTGGACTATCTTTGCTTTGTTGTGCTAAATCCAACTTGATTGTGTGTATGTATTTGTATTATACTGCTGAATTCAGTTTGCTAGGATTTTATTTAGGATTTTTGCATCAATTCGGAAGTGAAAGTTAGAAAGATTTTCCTCTGTCAGATTTTGTTTTCCTGGTTATACTCACTTTGAAAAATAATTTGCTTGGTTGTTCCATCTATTTTTGAGCTGCGGAACAGTTTATAGAATGTTCAAAAGATCGCTCTGGTTAAGCTGGAGCCTTGACTGGAGGCATTTAAAAAAATTATCCCCATAGATTAAATTTTTTTTGCTGAATTATATCTAGGTGTGGGTCATTAAAATATTTTAAAATTATTTTGATGAAATATAGTGACCCTTTTGATCTGCATGCTGAGATTATTCCACATTCCAGAAAGTTTTTTCTTGTTCATATTTTAGCTTATTGCTTTTGTTCTGCTTGATTTATTTCTCAAAAATATCTTTAATTAATACGTTGAATCACTGATTCAGCTTTTTTCTCATACGTTTCAGTTTTTTGTTTTGTTTTTACAATTTTGTGTAAGATGGATATTCAATATTCACCTAGGTAGGAGGTAAATAAAAGGTTTGCAATGGAATATTTCTGGTTTTGTAGTTGCTACAAACAAGACAAGGATGCCCATTCTCACCACTCCTATTCAACATAGTTTTAGAAATACTAGCCAGAGCAATCAGGCAAGAAAAAGAAATAAAGGGCATCCAGACTGGGAAAGATGAAGTCAAACTGTCCCTGTTTCAAGATGACATGATCCTATATATAGAAAAACCTACAGACTCTACCAAAAAACTCTTAGAGTTGATAAATGATTTCAGTAAAGTTGCAGGATACAAAATCAACATGCAAAAATCAGTAGCATTTTAATACTCCAACAATGAACTAGAAGAAAAAGAAATCAAGAAAGCAAGACTATTTACAGTAGTCACCAAAAAAACCCCCAAAAAAACCACACCTAGAAATCAGTTTAACCAAGGAGGTGAAAGATCTCTACAACGAGAACTACAAATCACTGCTGAAAGAAATTAAAGAGGACACAAAAAGATGGAAAGACATTCCATGCTCTTGGATTGGAAGAACTAACATTGTGAAAATGTCTGTACTACCTAAAGCAATCTATAGATTCAGTTCAATCCCCATCAAAATGCCAATGACATTCATCACAGAAATGGAAAACACAATCCTAACATTCATATGGAATAACAAAAGACCCCCAATAGCTAGAGCAATCCTGAGCAAAAAAAAAAAAAAAAAAAAAAGCCAGAGGAATAACACTACCTGGCTTTAAATTATACTGCAAAGCTATAGTAACCAAAGCAGCATGGTACTGGCATAAAAACAGACACTCAGACCAATGGAACAGGATACAGAACCCAGAATCAACCTACATATTACCATCAAGTGATCTTTGACAGAGGCACCAAGAACACATATTGGGAAAAGACTGCCTCTTCAATAAATGGTGCTGGGAGAACTGGACATCCAAGTATAGAAGAATGAAACTAGACCTGTACCTCTTAGCATATACCAAAATCAACTCAAAATGGATTGAAGACTTAAGTATAAGACCTGAAAATATAAAGCTCCTAAATGAAAACATAGAAGAAACATTCAGGAAGTAGGACTGGACAAAGACTTTATGAATAAGACCCCCAAAGCACAGGCAACAAAAGGAAAAATAAACAAATGGGATTATATGAAACTAAAAGCTTCTGCACAGCAAAATAATTAACAGAGCAAAAAGACAATCTACAGAATGGGAGAAAATATTTGCAAACTATGCATCTGACAAGGGATTTATATCCCAAATATACAAGGAACTCAAACAATTGGACAGTGAAACAATGAACAACCTGATTAAAAAATGGGCAAAGGAGCTAAATAGGCACTTCTCAAAGGAAGATATATGAATGGCCAACAAATACATGAAAAAATGCTCAACATCACTAAGCATCAGGGAAATGCAAATCAAAACCACACTGAGATATCATGTCACCCCAGTTAGACTGGCTATTATTAAAAAGACAGAATAACAAATGTTGGCAAGGATGCAGAGAAAAGGGAACCCTCCTACACTGTTGGTGGGACTGTAAAATAGTGCAGCCATTATGGAAAACAGTATGGAAGTTTCTCAATCAACTACAGATAGAACTGCCATGCAATCCAGCAATCTCACTGCTGGGTATATACCTGAAGGAATGGAAATCATCATGTTGAAGGAATACCTGCACTCCCATGTTTATTGCCACTCTGTTTACAATAGCCAGGAATGGAAACCA